TCCCGCTGGGAAGAGGCCGCTTCTCTCCACGCCCGGCCACCCGCGACGTCTCCGAGCGTCGTCACCACGGCAACCGCTTCGCGGGGCACAGCCGGAAGGCCTTCGCCACGCGCTATTGGCTGGAGCGCGCGAGCAGGGGGCGGGCCCCGGGGGCCAGCGCGGCCCTCCCATTGGCTGAGAGAAGCACATGAGCCGTGCCCGTAGGCGGAAAGAACGAGCCCCTCTCTGCGCTGGCACGTGGGAGAGGCTTTTGTGAAGGCGGCGCGGCGGAGAGAGAGAGCCCCAGAGCGCTGGGGTTGGCGCCGGAAGGGAAGGTCCGCTTCGCGAGCGTCCGCCCGAGGCTTCTTCCAGCTCTGCCTTGCTGAGGGGTCCCGAGCTCTTCAGACCTCTGGCAGGACTGGCCTCCCTGGGTAACACGGAGGGGATGCAGCCCGACGCCCACCTGCTGGTCCTGGCCAGGCGGCCAGGCTCTCCCTCCCCGCCTTCCTTACTCCTTTCCTCTCAGGATCATCAGGCACCCAGGGCATTAATATGCTTGCGATTTCGGATCCCTTGCCATTCACAACTAGTTCTACCTTGAAACCACAGTTAAAGGCCTCTTCACATTCGTCATGGGCAGTATGCAGCTATTTGAACAAAATTAAGAAAGGATGCCATTTAACTCGGGGTTTCTAAATTGCAGGGAGCTCTACCTACAAAAGGCACACCCACCAGTTGTGTTTTTTCTTTTTCTTTTTAGACAATGTTGCTACTGAAGACTAGCTACAGAGATGACTACCACCCCATACAGTACCTTCACAGGCTTTATTGGGGAACAGGGGCACAGAGAGGGCCTCCTTGAAGAAAGGGTGCCCCCCCCAACAAACGCGCAGTGGTGAGCTGATCCTTCCACTCCGGAAGCACCGCTAGGGCTGTGTCTCCCAGCTTTTGAAGGGCCTACGATACAATATCCAGAGAGCTCCCAGGACATTTCTTCTTGTTCAAAACCATGCCCTCTCTTCCCTCCAGTTGCAAACAAATACGTCTTATGATTAATGTTGGGGGAGGGATGGGGACAACCCCTGGGCCAGAGAGCTGGGGGAGGGATGGGGACAACCCCTAGTAGGGGTGTGGGGTGGGAGAGGAAAGTCCTGGTGTCCTCATCATGCTATGCAGAATTATTGTGGAGCCAAACCAGCAAAGTACTGTAAGTTCCAAATCCACTTTCCCCACAAGTGTGCCTGCCTAGTTTAGTACCTGAACATTTTTTTTCCTCAACCTCATCCCCTCCTTACTTGAGGCGAAACCAAAGCACTACATAATGGGAACAGGCAGGTGCTGGTGGCCAAAGAAAGCAAAAACACAACAGAAGCCAGTGATTTTAATCTGTATTTAACCAGACAATTATCTGCAAACAAAAGCTGTTACAGTGAGCAAGCAGAAGTAAGAACAGCTATCCTCGCAACAGGAGGATTCCCTTCTCCCCTCCCCCTTTCAAACTACACACAGTGGTTAAATCTGTTCAGGAGGACATATACAGCTTCTAACAGAAACAAAGTTAAGCTCCCTACTCCAATTCCAGCTGTATGTATATATTCATCTCAATCTCTTGATTAAAGTCAAGATTTAAGTGTGTCCCCCCCCAAAAAGACAAAAATTGTTGCCATTACACGTGGGCTAATCTAGAGTGGCATTTGGGACAAAATTTCTCTGCTCCATATTAAGCCCCTGCCAAAATGAAACAAAGAAAAAACCACCAGGATACTGCAGAGGCTGAAGCATGCCTTGGGGTAAAGATACCTGAACACCAACAGACTAACAAAGGGTACGCCATACCAGTCACTTGGAGTAAATGCATTTGCTAGCAATTTTCTATCAAGTATCTGTGTGTAACACAACCAACCACAAAGATACTGTTTTGTTCTTTAACCTTGAGGCGTGAAGCACATTTAAGTTTAGAAAGTAATTCCTTCCTAGTTTTATTCAGTACGGAACCCACCTAAAGGCTTTTGCACCTCGTGCCAAAAAGCATCTTAAGAAAAACACTCCGAGTTTGGCCAAAATTAACAAGGGCCCATTCAATCTCTAAATGTACCTTGGCATTTCAGAAATGCTATTTCAACTGGAGGCAGACACTGAAAAGAAAATCCATACTTACCTGGGATTGCATTTCTGCTGAAGTAAACAGAACAGCTGCATTTTAAACAGAGAGCTTAGAAAGGCATCTCAAGAGGCTAGCAGCCCACCACATAATTGTTTTGACAGGGAGGATGGTGAAACATATGTCCAGTGTGCCAACCTGGGCAAACCAAAGCTTTATTTTTATTATTAAGTCTTTGCTACACGGCTAGGCCTGCATCTCTGTACATAATTAAAACCATTCCTGAAGAATATGCATTTGGCACCAGGTTGTGTTTTCTCCGTGTTTCAGGGAGACTTTACATTTTACTTTTGAATTTACTTTTTCTGCAGAGGTGTGCCATCTTCAAGATAACTGACAAGAGGAAGCTTTAAAAAAATCCTCATCTAAGCCAACACAGCACAAGAAAAGCCCCCAAGAGGTCAAACGTTAATCATGCTGATGCAGACTCAAGTGGTTTATAAAACCCATAAAAAACTTCACCAGCAGAGACGCCCTTTTATTCTGTGCAGCTCAGAGAAGTGGCTTGGGAAGGAGCAACACGTACTAGCTGGAAATCTTGCCAGAGAAGACCCACGTATGTACCAACAGGAACACCTGAAAACCAAATATTCTTAAAAGCTCCAATGCCAAATCCATGTAGAAGAGAAAAATCTAACTCACAGGAAAACTGAATCAATCCATGAAATCACAATTGCCCGGCCATGTCACACCTTCCCCTGAAAAGCAGGTCCTGTAGACACACAGCAGAACCACGCCGCTCAACTGCCACTTCCTCATCTCCCGGTCAAGCAGGAGAGGAGTCCAGCGGTGCTCTTCAATTACTACCATACAGACCGTGTCGGCGACAAAGTACGAGGCAGATGAAGCAGAGATGGAGTCCTTAGGTCCCTGCTGCCTCCCGAGAGGTTTGTCTCACGGCTTGCATCAGTTAGACGGACTCTCCGCTCTCTATAGGTTGAATGATGTGGTCTGGTTTGTTGCCGGCTGCACAGTGATCCCACATCTTAAGGTAAAGCCGCTCCAGTTCCATTGTGTACTGCTTTGTGTTGAACAGTGGGCTGGATATTCTCTGCTTCCAGACTTTGCCTCGTATTTTCTTCAGGCTACAGAAAAAACAAGGTTTTTTTAAATACGTAGCCTAGAACTGCCACCACTGGATTCCACCAGCCCTTTACACTCTCCGTTAAGAGGCCCTTGTCTAGACCAACCCAGGCAGGCCACAGCCACGTGTAACCCATGGCCACCGCTCCCTTCCCAACCTCCAGCTGACAAACTCTCCTCTATATCCCCCACCAGGAAGCATCTGCTGAACACTTCCTGCCACCGTTTGAGGCTTGCCCCCTTCCCCCTGCAAACACATTTAGCTTACTATTCCAGATCGGTTCCCAGTTTCACAGCAATGTCTTCATATTCTTGTCTACTCTTGGCAATGAGTTCAGGACAGCCAAGGCAAGTAAGCTGGGAGGCAGCAACACGTGAAGCAAGCGTCTCGCCTGGAAACCAAAGGCATTGAGCGCACGTGAGGTCCAAGAAGCGCCCTCTTTTACTCCTTTCTCTGAGAAAGGGCTTCTCGGTGGAAGAAAAGAAGGGCTGCGGCAAGAGGGACCCCACAGCCCCCCTGGGGGGCCGCCACCGCTTCTGCCCAGTTCACAAGGGATACCGTGCAGAACACTCTGCCCCCTTACTGGCAGCCAGCAAACCCATCCCCACCACGCCAAGCCTCAGAGCAAGCAGAAGGCTAGCCTTACCGGGCATGGTGACCATTGGGGTGCCAGCCCAGAGCACGTCCATCCCAGTGGTGTGGCCGTTGCACAGGGGGGTGTCCAGGCAGACGTCAGCCAGCTGGCCCCTCCTCACATGCTCCTCTTTGGGGGCAACTGGGGAGAAGATGATGCGGTTCTGGGGGAGACCCATATTCTGAGCATACTGCTGGATGTTTGGCTCTCCCACGGCTGGGAAACGCAGGAGCCACAAGACGCTGTTTGGAACACGTTTCAAGATCTACGAGCAAACCAGGAGTCACAGTGAATTGAAGTATTCCTGTTTCTTTCAAGCCCAAGGTTTAGGAAACCTATTTTTAAAAAGTCCAGAACAGGCTAGCTATGTTTGACCCAACACACGGCTACTCACATTGGCCCACATCTGCAGAGTGGCAGGGTCAATCTTATACAACTGATTGAAGTTACAATATACAACTGAATCTTCTGGCAGTCCATACTGAGAGCGGGTGGTGACAATGATGGTGCGGGGAACCTCCTCACCAGTAGCTGCTTTGTTGTTGATCTAAAGGAGAATTTGAAGCATGAAACGTCGGCCTCGGATCATTTAATCTGGCTTCACAGCCTTCTCAAGCAGAGCACACTGGGACAGCCTTCATGTTCTGTTCATAGTCTGTTTAAGTCAGGGGAGCTCAAATTTTTCTGAATGTTTTCTCCCACAGCCTGTCACTCTTCTGTGCCTCAAAAACCAGATCTTTTGTCATTACAGATCCCCACCTCCACCCTTTTTGAGGTTTGCAGGCAAACACTGACTCCCACAGTCTTGGCCACGCGCGCCAGTCTGGTCTGTCCCTGCCTTGGTGCCCATGCCTCTTACCTGGGTAGTCGCTAGCCCATTGCTAATGTTGAAACCATTGATGGTTATCTGAATCTGTCCACGATTGATCATGTCAATCACAGCCTCTGCAATTGTATTCATGGGAATGACAGGCATGTTGAGGCTTGCGCTGCTGTCAGCATTATCTCCTCCATCAGGACATTTCATCTGGAAGCCAAGACACGTCAATTATATCTATTCAAAGGGGATGAAGAGGCTTTCTAGCCCAGACCATAATACTGTAGGTATCCATTACATTTTCAAATGTAAAATGTGCCCTTTTGGCACACTGAGGTGAGCCCTCGCAGGCAGCCATCCAATGCATAGGCTGTCTTTACCCAGCACCTTTTCACAGCAGATGTGAAGAGCACTGGCGTCCCCCCAGCCCCTCTTGCCTCCTCTTCCCTGGGAACTCATTTCTGGTCTTCAACAAAAAGGCAAACAAATGCTTGGATGTGTACTGCATTTGAATCCTCAGATATTTGTCTCACCTTAACTATTTTCACATCAGGCAGGCTGTCAATGAATGCCTTCAGGTCTATGCCATTCAGAACAATTCTGTTGTCATAAATGTGTCCATTGGATTTGAAGTCGATGACAGCTTTTTTCTGAAACAGGAGAGAGGAGAGACACTAAGTTCAGAATGCCTAAAGGTAAGAGTCTGATGTTCTTTGTCGTATTTACATACAATAAAAAAAGGGGGATACCCCTCAGGCCACTTTGGCCTATCTTGCCACCTCTGTCCAGCAAATACCTTCAGATGCGGGAACATATTAGCATGATCTCCAATGAAGAATGTATTTGGCATGTAAGCAAGCTTTTCGGAATATTGTTCGGCCACTTCAATGGGTGATGTTTCTTTGTCTGTGATTATATAATCCATGAATAACGCCCCGCTAGTCCCAGGATAGCCCAGCCACATTGCCTGGAAGTTAAAGGAAACAACATTCAAGCAAGGAGGCAAAAAATCCAGGACTGCACAGTTGCAACAAAAACCTTGAGGCTTCTTTAATGGATGTCTTGCAATTCAGGCATTTGTGCTCATGGGGACGAGGGAGTGGCTGCCACCACAGGCAACGAATTACATGTGTGGCGTCTGACACACACACACAAAGCCTGTATGCTTTCCAGGAAGAACTGTAGCCCACTTGAGTGTGGACTTTAGGACCATCTTTCTGGGCCAGTGCTTTCACCTGTATTGGGGCGGGCCTGAGAGCAAACAGCTCGTTCCGGGCTCCTTTGGTGTAGCCATTCATGTTGATGAGGATATGTATGCCATCCTGGTGGATGCGGTCAGCAGCCTTTCCGTTGCATGGGACCTGCAGCACAAGTGTTAGAAGCCACCACTCAGGAATCTTTCAGGTTTGCACCACTGCCAGATTAAAATGCTCCAGCTACAACTTGAGGGTCCTTTTGACCGTCTTGCTTCAGAGGGTGCTACTGAGTGAGGCACCACAGCTACATCTGCCTTCCTTTTCCCCCTCAAAATATAGCACTGCAGGAAAATACCAGATTTTTCTAAGATTTCTAACATACAGCAGGACAATAACTGGGCATCAGGCAAAGCAATGCGATTTTTAAAAGGGGGAAATCTGTTTCTAGAAAAACCCCTGTCAATTAAAATCAAGGACAACCATCTGTAAGAGTGTATTAATCAACTCAAAGGGTTGAGATATTATCATAAAGCAGACTCCACTGCTCTTCCTATTAAACCTGCTATACAAAAAGCTTAATTCGTCAAAGTTCCCACTTTGCTTCTAGGCTGACGGAAAAGATCATTCTTACCTGAGATAAATCAATAAAGTGATTCGCTTCAGCCATCACCTTCACCCGGAAGTTTGTACCATCATCAGGGCTAAGAGCGTAGCAGAACACCTAGGAAAGAGCAACAGAGGAACAGCTGAAACTCAAGCCAACTACAATCCTAGCAGAGAGAAAAACACTTAAGTAACCAGAAACAGTCGTCCCTTCCGCAACAGGAAGAAAAGACCGAGATTTATGAAGCAGGCGAACTATCAGAGGTCCCCCCCTTGCAGAAGAATGAGCCTTTCCCAGAAAGATCAGGCCCCAGCAGACACCCCCTTCTCCACTTGTCTCTTACCTCAAACTTGTCAGGATTGTGCATGCCTGGAATTGATTGCATGAGATGGGATGTGGGGTGATTCCCGAAGTCAGAGCTCACATAGCCAATGCGGAGTCGACCATCACTCGCCTTCAAGTCCTTTGGGTGTTCATAGGGCGGCTTGTGAAGAACATTGATCTGGCAATAAAAATCAGGAAGGTGATGGTCCTTCCGCCTTTTGAGATAAGGGATGCCCAAAACTACAGCGGCAACCGTTACCCTAAGATGTTCTTACTGATTTTAACTGCACTGGAGGATTTTTCTGCAGCATGCCTACCTTGTCCAAGCACAAGTTTCCATGTCTTTCAGCAATGGCCTTTCTGAAGCTGTGAGACAATGGATACAGCATGCTGTGATGGGGATGGACAGAAGGAAGCCTGTTCTTCTCCAGCTGGTCAGCCACTATGCTGACCAGCTTCTTCATCCTTTCATCATAATCAGTCCAATCACAAACTATCTACAAGTTGGAGAAGCCAAAGACTGAATTAGCACACTCCTTCAGCAGCAGCACTTGAACAGAACAAGGTTTTAACTACTATGGAGACTATTCCTTTGCAAACTGGACGCACTGCCAATCCATATTTTTAAACAAACCAACATGTGCCACAACTTGGCCAAAGCTTGAGGCTCTCTGCACTCCATAAAATATTCTGAAATTCTGCTCTTCAACTCACCTGCAAGCAGTGTGCCAAGTTGCAGTAGGCATCAGGGAAATCAGGTTTCAGTTTCAGGGCAGTGCGATAGGAAGCAATGGCCTCTGGAATGTTCCCCGAATCCTGGAAAGAAGGACCAGTTAAACAACGGAAGACGGTCTTCTGCCTCAAACATAAGACATAAGAAATTTATTTGTCATTGCACTCACAAGTGGGTGCAACGAAATGAGGTGCTCTTCCCCTAGGTAAAACTGGACAACACCACTACAAAAAAAGTTAAAATATACACAACACTCACCATACAAATATAGATACCCCGTTTCTCCCAGCAATTAAAATTCCACCAAAAACTTATGACCCCGCATTTAAACTCAATACTGCACTTGGGTAGAAGCTGTTCTTGAATCTGCTTGTCCTTGCTTTCAATACCCTGAATCTCCTTCTCGATGGTAATAGTTTAAAGAGCTGATGTCCCGGATGAGAGGAGTCTTTCAGTATGTTAGATATCTTCCTCTTGCATCTGTCCTTATACAGTTCTTCCAAAGAGAGGAGTGAACAGCCAATGATGTTTTGGGCCGTCTTAATCACCCTTTGAATTGCCTTTTTCTCTGCCACTGTGCAGCTCGTGAACCATACACAGAGACAGTAGAATAATATGCTCTCAATCTAACTCCGATAGAAGGTGGTTAACAAACTCTCAGTCAATTGTTGTTTTCTAAGAATCCTTAGAAAATACAACCGTTTGTTGCGCCTTCCTGATTAACGCAGCGGTGTTTGCACTCCAAGTCAGGTCATTTGTTATGATGGTCCCAAGAAACTTACATTCAACCACCTGTTCCACACAAACTCCATCTATAT